TCAGTATGTCAGTCCTGCTGAGATCAAGGGTACTTTTGATGTCAAGCAATACCTGCCTCTAGATCAAAGGCTGAGCTACTGAGTATGGCTTTAAAATAAAGTTTCTTAGTTATTATTCTTGTCAAGGGTAAAGTCAACACCTAAAGTAAAAGGCAAGGAAGAATTATGAAACTAAGTTATTTCTTGTCAATTTTACTTTAGAAAATTTTCTGACAGAAAAGATTCACAGGGAAAACTACTCCAAGAGGTCTCACTATCCAAAAACCTGAACAGAAAAACACCGTACCACCACGTCAGTGAAATTATGCATGACAGTGAGCAACAGGGCCAAGACGCAGAAAAGGATTAGTGTATTTAATATAACTATCTAATAAAATTAAGATACCTGAAAAGTCAAGTTTCTGTGCAACAGCAGAGGATGTGGCAGCACAGTAAGACTGAAAGGGGGGATTATTTTAACAACGTATGATGAACAGGACTAGAGAACTGATCTTGTTTTAATAACTGTGATACAGAAGAGGAAGGGATAAGTGATTTTAAACCTGATCTTTGGGAGCCAATGTGTTAAAATTATTGCACTAGTACAATCTGCTGAGAGCTGCAAGGTAGCATGAAGACACAATGGCAGGAGCTGAGTGCAGAAATGAGCAGGCAGCACACAGAAGTGTTCCACTTATAGATGTGCTTGAACCTGCTGGAGAGGGCTCTAATCCTCACAGCCTCTGTGAAAGCAGCAAAGAGTTTCAGTTTTTGATAAATACTGCAGCAGCCCTAACACCAGTCTTAGTCCTGTTAGATACAAATGGGTTTCAGTATGATCAGCTCTACAGATGAGACACGCTTGCTGATTAATGTTTATTCAAATTAGTTCATTCAAATATGCAATTCAGTTTCTCTTGGAAGGGAATTGACGATCATCAGCTGAAATAAATCAAGCTGAAGGCAGAGTAAATCATAAATAAGAATTGCTTTACATGAACAGTAAAGATTCCTAGTAAGTACCCAGAATATTACTGACTTCATGACAGGGAAACCATCTACTAAAATGTAACAGTCAGAAAAAGGATTATCACTGTCTTAGGAATGGGAACATTTCCATGGAAAGAGACAAAGCTGAATCATCTGACGAAATTCAAGAGAAATGACAACATCTAGATACTGAGAAAGGTCCCTGAAGACAAATCAAACTAAAATCTGTTGAAAAACAAAAAAGCTGATCAGAAGCTTTAAAATACAGCAACTTCACCTGATACTCGGTTACAAGTACCCAGCCAAAAACTGAGTAAAAGTGAGCAAAGTGACTTGGAAAGAATAACCAGACTTATGTATAATGAGCCCAAAATATTTTCCAGGAAACCAGGGAGACAAGCTTTAGCAAGTTTTCAGTTGGCTAGCATGAGTGAATTGAATCAAAAAGCTTGAGCTGGGGGTGTGGAAATCTAGAGAACAAACTTAAGACACTAGCTACTGCAAAAGCCAAGTGATGGGATCAGTCAGAACTTGGGCAAAACCAGACATGTGCAGCACAGAAGAGTAGAAAGTGCTGTCAGAAGACCAAGCTAAGACTCCATAAGAACTGCCTTGCACAGTGGTCTATGACCGCTATACAATGCTGCCTCTTCTAGATGTTATGCAGAGTGATGCTAGAAGTCAGGTATTTGAGTGACAGCTTCCAGCACAGAAGTATGCTAGCTAAGAAATCGGGGAATAGGAGGGATGCTACTGAAACCAAGATCCCTCAACTACCTCGTGTTAAGTATTACAGTAAGGGAGGACAAGGTGCAAGGCTTTGGCACTGTTAACTGCTGAAATAAGAACGGTGGCCACTACTAAAGAGCTTACTTTGTTATGTCATCTGTTAGTCAAGTGGAGGCATATGGTCTTCCCTGATCAAATAAGCTTCCTTTTAATTCTGGTTATAAGATTACACCAGAACAATTCCTCAGTGTCAGCACAGTTCCAATGACCTAAACATGAACTCAGCAAATTAAGTATGAAACTATTAGGTACTGACTTCACTGGCATATACAGACTTTCTACAGGCTGCTTACTGCCTGCTTTCTCCTGTAGCTCAGGAATGCAGCACCAATTTGTAAAATCCTAATTAGTTCAAGTTAACATCTAGAATTTAAGTGTACCTGAAGGGTTGATAAATTTACATTAGCTAGTATTGGATAATATCATAAATTGCAACTCCTGAGTGATTTTTCCTGCATTTCTCCCCTGTGCAGAACCACCCCTGCACTCCACAGCTCACTACTTTTGTGGCTGGACACAGACTTACCAGGTGAAGACAGACAGACCTCTGAAGCCAACTGCATCCCCCTAACTTCTCCCAGTGATCACCTACAAAACACTAGTTTTGGTTCATCCAGAGGGCCACCAAGACCCAGCCCGTGCTGCTGCTATTGCTGGTTCCAGCCACTCAAGCATGGTACTGAGGTGCTGCAAGCCCAGTAAAGCTCCTGCTGCTGCCTTCC